AAATGGTAGGTGTTATGAGGAAATTCACACAGGGTGACAGGAGGGAATGCCAGGGATGGGACAGGGGAGTCAGGAACTCTGAGGGGCACCTTTGCAAAGAGGTTACTGTCCTCATTTACAGATAACATAACTCCTTTACATAGTTTGTATGAGGCAGAGTTCTGAACATTTTGCATGCATTAACTGATTTCACACATACAACCCCCGTGAGGGGGCTAACAGCATTCCCATTTTACAGATAAGGAAACTGAGGCACGAAAGTTAGGTTACTTGGCCAGGTTTATGAACTCTGAATCAGAGCCTAGATTCAAACCCATTGATTCTAAAAGTAGGTTCAACAACATGAGCAGCCTGAGGCCTAGACAGTCTGGCCTCCAGGAGAAGCAGCAGTTACTCTCAATACTGGCCACAAGAGCACACAGTGCTGAGGAGGCTGGCAGAGCTTCCTCCAAACCCAGCTCACAACCAGGACCCCAAAATCCCTTGTTCCTCCACAAAGACTGGTACCACATGAAAAGCTATGGCCAGATGCAGTCTGATCCCACAAGCATGCAGGTAAGCAAGAGAGCTGCCTGGTGTATGCCCCGGACACAGTAGTAAGGCATGGAGGGCCCCAAGCCAAGAGACTCTGTGATGCCCAACACTTACTCTGTCGCACAGATCAGAGCCCTCTGTCTTCAGCCTGGACTGCAGCAGTGCAATCTCACTGGTCAAGGCCTTGTGTTCAGTTTCCAGGCTCTTCTTGCCACTGTTGAGGGTAGAGATGTCCCGGGATTGCTTATACCTATTGACAGTCTCATCAAAGTGACGGTAAAGGCCTATTCTCCTGTTGACCAGGGTCAAGACCTGCTCTGTGATGCAGGCTACCTTCATCCTGGCTTCTGCGGCTGGATCCTGAAGGAAGGAGAGGGACCATGTGTGACCAACATCCAGGCTTGGGCCCACTCTGACCTTATCTCCCAAAGAACATCTGCCACCACCAGCCATCCGAAAAAGAAATGCCACCTTCTTAGAAAGTCAGAGTCAAACCCCTACTGACACCTAATCTGGACCAGGTTGAGCAATAGGCAAGACTAGGGCCATAAAGATGACACAAACATTCACTTCACAGTCCAGTAAAGCAGGCAGACAGATGTGAACAAGGATAATGTCAGTGTGCCCTGCACACACAACATTACTTTACAGCAGTCTTGCCCATTTAATCAGCAGGAAACATTATATAAACCAAAATTAAGGGATGCTGTATAAATCTAGTCTCTACAATACAAATGTCAAAAGTCATTAAACGCAAAGAAAGGACCAGGAATAGAGGCTCACACCTGTAATCCCCACACTTTGGGCAGCTGAGGCAGAAGGATCACTTGAGGTCAGGGATTAAAGACAAGCCTGGGCAACATAATGAGACTCCATCTCTACAAAAAAATTTTTAGCCAGATGCAGTGGCTCACACCTGTAATCTCAACATTTTGGGAGGACAAGGCAGGCAGACTGCTTCAGTCCAGGAGTTCGAGACCAGCCTAACCAACATGGCAAAACCCCATCTCTAATAAAAACACAAAAACTTAGTCGGCCATGGTGGCATGCTCCTGTAGTCCCAAACTATTTGAGGTGGAAGCATGGCTTGAGCCCAGGAGTTCGAGGCTGCAGTGAGCTATGATTGATGAGGGGAACGGTCAGCAAAATTTAATTATGGACTCCATGTTGGTCAATAGTAATAATTAACTGGCCAATTAATATTATTAATTAATTAGCAGGCAATTATATTACCCATTCTTTGAGGAGGAAGGCACAGAAGGCAGAACAGTGGAGCCACTCAACACAAAGTTTTGAACATGCTGTTCTACCAGATTTTTAGCAACATTACATTTCCTGAATTTGGTCACTGTATTGTGATTATGTAAGAGAATACCCTTGCTCTCAGGCTACACACATGCTCAGCTATTCAAGGGTAAAGAGGCACAATGTCTACAACTTAACCTCAAATGATTCAGCAAAAATAATTACACTTACACACACACACACACACACACACACACACACACACAAACACACAGAGTTATACTTCGAAGCCACCGACTATCTGCACATAACTCAAGTCCTGTAGTCAGCCCTATGGAACCCAAGTATACAAAAAGTCAACTCTCCACATACTTGGTTTCAGATCCCTCAAACACTGTATTGAGTACTGTATTTCCTATCTGCATTTAATTGGAAAAAACCTGCGTATAAGCGGACCCACACAAGGTGGATCAACATCTTACACACGTGCCCTGCCACTATCCACAGGCGTCACCAAAACCCCTCCCTGCTGTCTCACAAACATCAGCCCCTCCAGCTGATTGTCCTTCCCCACCTTCTTTGCCTGTCACCTCCTCAGGGTAGCCCTTGGGGCCTCCCAGACTGCACCACTAAAAGCACACCCTTGGTGCGCACCTGTAGTCCCAGCTACTTGGGAGGCTGAGATAGGAGAATTGCTTGAACCTGGGAGGCGGAGGTTGCAGTGAGCTGATATTGCACCACTGCTTCCAGCCTGGCAACAGAGTGAGACTCTGTCTCAAAAAAAAAAAAGCACGCCCTGTACCTGTCATCACGTTCCCACAGTCAAGCACCAGCTTTGCTCGTGTCCTCCCCAAAGCCTCACCCCCCAGGCTCCAATAAGTGCCTGCTACTAGTGCCTACCTGAGGCATGGTGCCAAGAGTCCTCAGTAACAATGAGAGAACGAGAAATAGAGGGACGAAGGAAGAAAAGACCAAGAGGATGACCTGAGGATAACGGCAGTGTAGCCCGGAGAGGACCAAGGAGCCACAAAGCCTGTCCTGTCAGGGAGCAGAGAGTGCAGGGGGGAGAAGGGTGTTGATAGGGCCACGAATCACAAGGGAAGGGAGAGGGGACACTGGCAAGGGGACTAAGAGGGAGTTCCAACTCCAAGTTCCACTGAATAACAAAGAAGCAAAACAGCTAAATAACAAGCACCAATCTTTTCATGTTTTTTTCTACCTCAACTGAGCATCCAAGTTACTTTGTCTCCAGAGCCAAAATAAGACAGAAGCAGGGACTTAACCTCCTGTGCTGGTCATCACAAGAAACAAAAACAAAGTACCCTTCCAACAAGGATGAACACAGGCAGGGGTCTTCTGGCCATGGTGTCCTCCCCTGGGCTCACTGTAAGGATCAGTGCTCAAGCTGGTGCTATTACGAGGACACAAATGACAAGCAGGAAGAAGGCTGAGAGGGTACCTTGGTGATGGAGAAGTCCAGCCGGACATAGATGATGACGGTGAAGAACAGGATGTAGAAGGCTGCCACCACCAGCAGGGGCTCCTGCAGCATAAGCACCTTGTTGAACGTGTAGTGGACCTGGGAGAAGCAGGAGACAGGCTTCATCGTGGCTGCAGGGACACGGGAGCCTAGACTCACCCAAGCTGGCCCACTCAACCTGCTGCCCCACCCCAAGCCCAGAAGAGGCTGTGGGCTCAAACAACTCCAGCCCAAGGAGGGACAGGGGGTGAGTCCTCGGCCCCAGTGCCCACTGGGAAAGGCAGCACGCAAGGCAAACAGCCGAGCCACTCACCACAATGTCCTGAATGTGCTGTTCTACCAGATTTTTCTTGTAGGCAACAATCACAGGGCGGCCAAACGTGTCCAGATAGGTGTAGTGCAGCTCATCTGGGGAACGGCTGATTTCATAGGGACTATCAATTTCAATGTTCCTGGAAGCAGATGGGAATAAAATATAGCCTCCAACCAACTACACCAATGAACCCCATTTAGAATCAAAGAATTCCAAGGCTATGGGGCCTTTTGAGGTCACCAAGTTCATACTCTCCACTGAGCTCCCTCCCTAGCTATGGAGAACCCAACTCTCTTAGACAGGGGAGCCACTGCCAGAAAGCCTTCTTTTAAAGCCCTCTTCTGCTGGGCAACAACTGTCCCACTGTATCCTCCACTCCCAAGTTCTCACAGGTACTGGCCCCACTCCTTGGAGTCACAAAATTGGCACAGCTCTCCTGTACATTCTAACCAGTGAGTCCCTTAGGGCTTCAACAAGAGGCCTCACAAGCTATCGTGAATATTCTTTCTCTTCACATGAGAGAGCTTCTTATGGGGGACATGTCCTGCTTTTGTCTGCCCAGGACCACTGTCCCTTCTGCTGGTAAACAGCACACCCTGGATTTGCTTGAGGAACTACCTTTTCCCCATGGAACATACTACACAGGATAAAAATCAAGGGATCTCTCATACTGGCAGTCAGAGTGGACATGTGACTCAAGAGAGGCTAAGCAGATGTTCCCTGATAAAGTAAATCTAGAACAAAGTGACACAAAGACTGTGCCCCTAGAACATAGGCTCCCCTTAGAGTACCACAAGGGTACAACCAGAGCAAATGGGTGCGGAGGAGAGGAACAGTCACACTCACTTCGCCCCTTCAGGCAGGATGATCTTCACAGTCAGAGAATCTATCACTTGTTCATCAAACACATGGTCCACAAACCTCATCTTCAGTGCATACTGGTCACCTGAAGGATCAAGCAAACATACACAATGATGTGGAAGACAGAGTAAATGGGCAGGAGAGAAAGAAGTACAGGGGCCCACATAAAGACAAAGCAACTAGACAGCAAACCCAAAACCCACAGACCATGTTTACAACAAAACCAAGCAACCAAGTATCTCTACTGAACCCCACAATACAAAGACAGGGGCAGGGGTCAAAACACAGACAGCCATAAGACCTTCACTTATCAGTGTCTGTGAAGAAGAAGGCAGAGAGAAGCAACAGGGCAACTAATGGGCTTGAGAACAGCAGAACCCCAAAACATACAACTGGGATTCCCAAGACAGCATGGCAGGCCAATGTGAGGAGTGGATGAAACTCGGAGCAGCAGTGCCCTGCCTAAAGGAAAGTGAAACAGGCCTGCAGAAGGTCTACAAGTCTGCAGAGTCTAGTCCCTGAGAGCAGAACTCGCCTTCTGACACAGTGCCCTACTCTGAGGAGAAACTGCTCAATAGAATCAAAATTGAGCATGGGCTGGGTGTGGTGGCTCACGCCTGTAACCCAAGCACTTTGGAGGCCAAGGCGGGCGGATGACCTGAGGTCTGGAGTTCAAGACCAACATGGTGAAACCTCGTCTCTATAAATAAATGAATGAATGAATGAATGAATGAATGAAAATTCATCATGATAGGGACAATGGAGTTCAAAAACTGAGCGGGGGAAGCTCAGCAAGCAAGCCACGTGTTTTTGCAGTATACTACACTAAAACAGAAGAGGTCTGGGAAGGTACAAAGGCCACCCTAAAGCATCCCTCCTTCCAAATGGCCACATTAAAAATGATCAACAGACAGCGGCTTACACCTGTAATCCCTGCACTTTGGGAGGCTAAGGCGGGCAGATCACCTAAGGTCAGGAGTTTGAGACCAGCCTGACCAACATGATGACACCCCATCTCTACTGAAAATACAAAAATTAGCCAGATATGGTGGCAGGTGCCTAAAATCCCAGCTATTTGGGAGGCTGAGGCAGGAGAATTGCTTGAACTCAGGAGGCGGAAGTTGCAATGAGCTGAGATCGCGCCATTGTACTCCAGCTTGGGCAAAAAGAAGGAAACTCCATCTCAAAAATCAAACAAACGAACAAAAGACTTCAATCCTTTCCTTTTCCACATCTAGGTTTCTTTTTTAAAGCTTGTAAGTCTATAGGGAGAAAGATCAGACTTCAAAAGGAATACTTTATGCAACCCCACAAAAAAACGAAGTAACATTTAAGATACTGGGCAACTTCTGTTTTCTGTAGAAACTTGGTATAGAAAGAAAAGAAAAGAGAAAAAAAGAGAAAAGAAAAGAGAAAAGGAAAGAAAGAAAATATAAGAAAACAGAAAAGAAAGACAGACAGACAGACACTGGGCAACAAGAGTGAAACTCCATCTCAAAAAAAAAAAAAAAAGGACTCATTCACAGTAAAAAGAAAAAAATGAAAAAAAAAAAAGAACTCATTCTATAAGCCCTTCCTGCAGAATCTACATGAAAATTACCTTCAGGTAACCGGAAGGACTAGCTATCAATCAATGAGGGTGAACATTCAATAGACACTGAGCTGGGGAACTACAACTAAACTTAAAGGGGAAAAAGTACACTACGTAATGGCAATTTGTTCCGACAATAAACACGTAACAAAAAAATGGGGGCAAGGCTGGGTACGATGGCTCACGCCTATAATCCCAGCAATTTGGGAGGCCAACGGTAGGGAAACACTTGAGCACACAAGTGCAAGACCATCCTGGGCAACAGGACAAAACACCATCTCTACAAAAAAAAAAATACAAAAATTAGCTGGGTATGGTGGCACACGCCTGTAGTCCTAGCTACTTGGGAGGTAGAGGAAGGGGGATCGCTTGACTCCAGGAGGCAAAGGTCGCAGGGAGCCAAGATCATGCCATTGCACTCCAGCCTGGACAATAAGAGTGAAACACTGTCTCAAAAAGAAAAAAAAAAAGGAAAGACTTGAAGAAAATATAACAAAATGCCGGGCGCGGTGTATTACAGACCTCTCAAGCCTGTAATCCCAGCACTTTGGGAGGCCGAGGCGGGTGGATCACGAGGTCAAGAGATCAAGACCATCCTGGTCAACATGGTGAAACCCCGTCTCTAC